GTTGCATGTAGAAGGTTCCATGCTGAACCCTCCATATTGCCAGCTAAAAGAATCTCAGGTGGCAGAGTTACAAAGGATCTCATTCTGGAGGCCGACAATAGAGAGAAGATAAGAGAAATGCATAGCCCCAGTTTCAAGTGAGATAATGGGATTGAGGAGATTTTCAGGGAAGAATAAATGAGATGGTACTTAACCATAACACTGCATACTGGTCTTCCCTCCACATACCCTATCGTTCTTTTAAGACGTTTTTCTTTTCTGTTTTTAACCCCTGCTGGACTTCAGATCTTGAAATGAGCTGGGTTGAGTGTAAAATGGCCTTGTGGGTGTCCTTTGGAAGGTGAACATTCCTCCTGGCTTCTGATCTTCCTTTCTTAAATATCCCTCCTGCAGTATCTCTTTGGTGAAGTAATGTCTGCCTTAGTCCAGAAATTTGTGAGAGCCACCACCAGGCAGAATAGGAAATTCTGGTATAGGTGGACCAATGGTCCAGTTTTGTATAACCTGCTTTCATATTATGTATCATATGTCCCTAATATCAGATAATACCTTCTACTACTAGCCTCAGGGCAGGTGAAGAACCCTGATATCTCTGTGCTACTTGAACATTGTTCTTTTGTTGTTGTTGTTGTTGTGATGAGGTTTTAATAAAGAGTGAGATAAATCTCAAGGAGCCCAGGCGTGTGTGTGTGTGTGTGTGTGTGTGTGTGTGTGAAAGAGAGAGAGAGAGAGAGAAATATGAGCTACTGATTTTACTCATGACTCAGGTCCAGTTCACTCAATCAATAATTTATTACAGTCATGGGCAAGAGAATAAAACATATCTTAGCATGATGATTATAAGAACTTTATACAATTTTAGTGCAGTTCACTCATGTTGAAGCCAAGATGATAAAACTGATCTTGGACAATATTGCTTTGTACTGTAAATAGGGGAATGCATGAAGTTTCTCATGGGGGAAAAATCACTCTACAAATATAGGACTGATATTTCTGGTGGAAATCCAGGCTAGAACTCTTCTCTTAGTTGAACAGATTCATTACTTCATTTGCTGTTGGTGTGAACTAGTATTAGGTTGGAGGGGTCAAGCACACCTGGTTTGCTGAAATATCAGTAGTTTTCCCACCACAACACAATT